TTTAAAATGTCAACCTCAATTTTGACATATTTGTAATCTTCATTAAAAATCCTTTAAAATGAGTACAAACACGACATATTTATCTTCAATATTAATGAAGTTATGGTCAACTTCCGGTTAAGAATGTCAACGTCAATTTTGACATATTCTTAATTTTTATAAAATGTCTTAATATTTGGCATAAAAACAAAAATATAATAAAAAATTAAGGTTGGTATTAATTTTTAAAAATTAAATTGCTATTTTCATTGTTGCTAACTTCAGGTTTAATATTTTTTATTCTAACTTTTTTGTTTATTGAGATAAATGCGTCATCTTTGGGCTCATTTTAAAGGTTTTTTAATGAAGATGACAAATATGTCAAAATTGACGTTGACGTTTCAAACCGGAAGTGATTGTATTTCCATTAATATTAAAGTTAAATATGTCGAGTTTACACTCATTTTAAAGGATTTTTTATGAAGTTGACAAATATGTCAAAATTAAAAGTTGAAAATTCGAACTTTTTGGTTTTTTGAGATAAATGCGTCAAGTTTGGACTCATTTTAAAGGTTATTTTATGAAAATTACTAATATAATAAGAAAATTAAAGTTGACATCTTATGCTAACTAGCGCTACCTACCGCTGTCGTTTGTAAAATGGATAAAATGAGAGATATTAATCTATTTGTAGAGTCTGTGAAGATAACCAAGAACTGAAATTAGTTGGACTTTAATTCTATATAAAATAAAAGACATAAACTTTTAATTTTATACTAATATCTAGAAAACAAAATATCTAACAAAAATTAAAATTATCCTAACTAACCTGTCTTTGTGTTCCTTGAATTTCCCCGGGAACGTTTCTTGTGCTCACGATGAGGTAATTTGCCATGTTCAAATAGAAAACGGCAATAATCGTCAGCGGGATTACGTAAAGTATTAAAAATTTCAGCATGACGTTTACTTGTGGGTATTTATTGTTGAGCCAGTTTTTCGGGAATGGATAGCAAACGGTGAATATGATGCGGCCTTCGAAATCTACGAGATGCGAACCGATTGCGGAAGGAATCGCCAAAATTATTGCCAAAATCCAAATTGAAATTGCCACTCCGAAGGTGAAACTGGTCGCTCCTTTTACACTCCCTTAAAATAAATAAGAATTAATTTTTTATGATTTCGTGTCAAAAAATCATTTCTTTAACTTGGATTTTTATGTTTTATGTAAATTTTTTTGGAATCAAAGTTCACGAGGCAATTATACACATGTATTGCGTGACTTTGTTGATTTTAGAGTTAACATTTACCACTGTTGTAAAGAAAAATGCAACGCAAGGGGTAAAAATTAATATGCAACGGTTGACGTTTCTAAAAATAAACGTTCAAGCTTAAAGGATTATATTGTTCATCGTTGAGTTTTAAGAAGGTCGTAATACTAAAAGTGCTCTTCTCCGTCGCAATAAACGTCTTGGAAAATTAAACATTAAACCGACAACAAAAAATAACTATTTTACTTACCACTGTTGTGAAATTTCTTCATGGGATCGACGATTGCGAAAAATCTATCCGCTGAAAGGGCTGTTAATGTAAAAACTGAAACACCGATTGAAACATCTTGAGCTGTTTCAGATATTTTGCAGATGATTTCACCCCATGGCCAAGACTCGTACGTGTAAACGATTGAAGTGAAGGGTACTGATGTTAACAAGACGACGAGGTCGCCCAAAGCCAAAGACAGGATATAGCTGAAATAGAAAGAAAATAAAATTAAAATTGAGGGAATAAAACATTTAAAATACAGAGAAAAGGTAATTTACATTCATTTCAAAAGAGATTGGAAGCGTCGTTTTTCCTCTTTGTAGTTTAAAGTCACTTATACGGCGGATAAAGAGGATGAAAATTCGTTTTCAAACGAGAATTAATTGGTGAACATCGGCGTAGACAAATTAAATTATCGATATGTATTCATGAACTTTTCCGATTTTAACTCGATTCTAATTCAAATTTTAAACAACTCCGTTATGGTCTAAAAATATAAAATTTTGTATTTGATAATAAATTGAAAAGTTTAATTTCCATATTTAAATGTAAAGTATTTATTATAGTACAAAAATGTAAAAATTCATTAAAAAATAAAATTTTATTATATCAAAGCATTTTTATTTCATTTATAAAAGTTAATTACGAAGACTTTTGATATAAAAATTTCAACAGAAGTATTTTTGTTGAAGGCGTCTTTGGAAATTTTCTATTCGAAAAGTTTTAATATCGTTCGTGTGTCAGGTTTAATCACGTTTCTAGCAATATCTAATATTAACCGTTACAATCCAGTGCACGTGACAAGCTCTATTCTTTTCATCGGCGATAATTAAGGCCACTTTATTATAAAAATAACTTATTTTGTTTATATATTTCCAAACTTCACCCTCTTGTCTCACCCTTCTAATCTCTTCCGCCTCCCTCTCCCTCAATTCTTTCTTTTTTCTTTTGCATATCTCTTTATATCCCCTCAATGCTTCCCTATATTCTTCCACCCCCGCCAACCTTCTCCGCCACTGTCTCAACTTCCTTCTCGCCTCTCTCTTCGCCCCCATGCACTCACCATCCCACCATTCGTTCCTGCCTAGCTTTGCACTGCCCCCTCGTACGTACTCTTTCTTCGATATCGCTTCCCCCACCACCCGCGCCAGCTCGTCCACCCCCCTAGACATCTCCACTCTCCGTCGCCACCCTTCCAACTTTTCCCTAAAGTGTTCTATCCCTCTTTCCGACCAGTCAGCCCTTATACTTTTTCTTTCCCGATTCAAACTCCCTCTCCCCCACGCGCCCCTTAGTACCAATTCCAGCGGTTGGTGATCCGATTCTACTGATTCTCCCACCCTGAAGCTTTCCACCCTATCCCACATCTCTTGGTCCACCACCACGTAATCAATTACCGACGCCCCCCTTGCCCCTGTATATGTGTACTCCCCTTCTTCTCCCTCCTCCTTATTGCCGTTCAGTATCTCCCATCCGTTCTTCTCCACCCACTGCAACAATTCTCTTCCTTCCCCATTCTGCACCTTATCCTTCGACCCTCGCCCCCTCTCCTCTCCCCATGTCCCCAGCCTTCCTCCCCCTTCCCCCACTCTCGCGTTGAAGTCTCCTCCCATTATTATATACCCCTCCTTCCCTTCTCCCACCATCCCTTCCCATTGATTCTTTGTCTCCTTCATAGATCTGCTGTACACCGTGACTATTTGCACCTTTTCCCTTCCCAGCCTGATCTCCCTCTTCACCATCCCTTTTTTTCTCCACTCCGCCTCCATCTCGCTTTCCTCCACCCTCCCCCTGCTGATTCCAGTTATAATTCCACCACTCGCCCTCCCTTTCTTGCACCTCCTTTCTGCATGAACGCAGTCCCATCTGTACCCCCCTGGCATTTTCCCCTTTATCCTCTCCCACCCCGCTTCGTCTACCCATGACTCCGCCAAACAGATCACGTCAAAGCCCTTCAAATATTCCCAGAACTGCGTTCCTTTATTCGTTACACCTGCCACATTCCAAAACACCACTTTCGTCCGGCCCCTGTCTCCCACCAACTCGCTCGTATCCTTTGCCATTCCTCCTTCCCCCCCTCACCTAGTTTTTTGGTAAATTCCCCCGGACCTTTTCCATTACCACACCCTCTCCTTCATCCTGTCCCTTCTCTCCAACTCCCTCACCCTCTGTGGACACTCCTTGCTCCCAGCTTCATGATCCCCCTTCATCCCTACCTCCCTGCAGTTTGCGCATGCCGGGTCCTGTCCCTTCTGTTTGCACTCTCTATATTCATGTCCCTCAGTCGCACAATGTCCGCACCTCTTTCCGTTCTTGCATCTACCTTGCACATGCCCATATCTTTGGCATCTATAACACCTAGTCAGCCCCCTGTAATCCTCTACTCCGCATGATCTCAGCCCCAGATACACCCTCCCTCTCCTCAACAGCCCAACCCTCAGCCTCGCCGTCACTTCCATCACATAATTTACCAGATCCTCCCCCTTTCGCCCCGTTTTGAACTTAATCTTCGCCCCTTTCAAAAACTCCTCATACCCCATCCCCAAGCTTTCCCCTTCCAAGTTCTTCTCCCACATCTGCCTCATTATCTTTTCCTCCTCCATTTCCCTTGGCACACCAAATACCACAATCTTCGGGTCTAGCTTCCTCGTCTCCCTTATAGACCACCCTGCCCTCTTTCCCATCTCCTCCTTTATCAGGTCTACGTCCCTCTTGGACTCCCCCTCTACCAACACCCTATTTCCCTTCGTTCCCCACACCGCATTTACCCTTAGATCCCCCTCTTTTCCCTTTAATCCTTCCATCACCTCCGCCTTCAAATCCCTTCCCTCACCGTCTTCCTTCCCTTCCCCTCTCTGATCTTCAATAACTATCACCCTTCCTTTAGCACGTCTTCTATCTTTCCCTACAACCCCCGCGTAGTTTCTGCCCAACAACCCCCCTTCCTCATATCTTTCCTTCCCGGTAATCAAGTTTTTCATCTCCTCCATCCTTTTCTCCATTTCCGTCTCCGAAACGTCAAACCTTTTATTAAAAGACGCACGGCAAAACCCGAAAGTTTTTAGTGTTAGTTCTAATTTTAGTTTAAGTAACGTTGTAGTTGCCATTTTTGATTGAAAAATTTTATAAAACTCAGGATGTTCCATTTAGAATATGAAAATTGTCACCTCTTCCGGTGTAACCACAAGTATCCGGAACCTGAAAATACTTTAGTTGAAAAGCTGGCATCAAACATCACAAGTCTGCAAATTTTCAAACCTCCACTTCATTAGGTTATTCACTAGGTCGCACTAGGTATTCATGACACACTAGGTTAAATATCGATATTTGTGTGCATTTTTCAATAAACCCTAATTATTTCCCAAACTATAAATGTTAGGTATAGGACATATGGGATATAAAAGATGTAAAATGAGACACCGAAGACGACTAAGTAATAAAATATGGGGGGTGCCATTTAAAGAAATGAAGTTATGGTACTTCCAAGTTTCGAAAAGGTAACGTGCCATAGTAAAGTGACCAAACGTTCTAGACAGCCATACTCGGCACCATAACATACTCCGTCATGTTGCTTAAGCATGTTCTGAATCCTAAATTGATATTTCAAAAATCGAGTGTTCTTTGATTTTTTGAACAAATGTCCGCTGGAGCAAATTTTTCTAGAAAAATTCGAATAACTCGAGAACGGCCGAATCAAATTGCAAAAAGTAAAGTCATTCATAAACCTTGAAAACAGACAAATCCAAATATATAAAAATATACAGGGTGTTCCATTTAAAAAAATAAAGTACGTGGCGACGTCCGGTATAATCGGAAGTGTTAGATATTTGAAAATATTTTAGTCGAAGAGAACGCAATTGATAATACTTAAATCTGAATTTTCAAATTTGTATTTTGGCCAGAACCCTGTAAAGTTCTAATGGACGGTCGTCGTGGATGACCCTGTATATATTACTCTTCATTTACGCTTTTTTTCTTTCTACGTCACACCAATTGTAACAGTGTGGACCCTGTTGCAGTTGGATTTGTTAAGGGTTATTTGCAGATCCACTGGCGCCCTATTCTGTTATTAAATCCACCCCCTTCTCCTATGAGGTTGGCCGGCACCTTACCATATCGTGGCGTTTTGTCGAATCGTTATTTTTTTTTTGTTTTGTTGATTGAACATTTAAGACTTTTCGAGTCATCAGTAGTTTCATTTTTTTTAAAAACGCTACAACATTTTCTTGCAACTTGGAAATTGCTCAGTGTAACTTGACCCTATTAGGTTGAAATTGAAGTTAATATCCATTATACCAAAAAAATGTTTCGAATTTTGTTGTACTTTTACTGGTTTATTTATATTTTTGTTGTCTAACTAGTTTCGGCAAAAGCCATCATCAGAGACAGAAGTCAATGTATTTTACAGGAAATTAACATCGAAAATATAAAGCGGTGAACAAATTAAAATTATTATTGTCACAAAACATACTTAAAATAAACGTAAAAATTCTTTTACAAATCTTTAAAGATTTAACTCAGCGTGGACATCTTTTGTGGTAGATAATTTTGTGACAATAATAATTTTAATTTGTTCACCGCTTTATATTTTCGATGTTAATTTCCTGTAAAATACATGCTATGACCATAGTTTTTCTATTTTCAATTCCATATTACAAATATATGTATATTAAAGTAAAAATCATCAGGAAGGCTACCTTAAAGATGGAAGGACAGCTAGAAATTCACATCATAATATACACTTCGGCCACAACAAATTTTATTTAAGGATTTTCCAAATTCAATATAAATTAACAACCCATTATTAAATTATTTTTATATTAAAATTTTGTTTATATATATGTTAATATTTAATGAGGATAATAGGATTATTAACGGTGTTTGGTAATAATCGCATTTTCCTCGATATTTAATCAACGTCGATGTTTGACGTCCGCTCACGAATGAATGGATATTAATTTGGAAATTAATTCGGCGAGTGATACGATGAAATACGCCGTGCGTTAGCTACATAGCAATCATCGAATTGGATTTTGTAACCACGTCACTTCATAGTATAACCAAGTTAAACCACGAACGTGAAGTTTTGGTGGATGCGCCGGGTAGTTTGAGTTTCTCGCCACCTCTCTAAAGCAATTTACTTACCTTCTCAGGAAATCTCGAGAAGTTACTTCTCCGGGAAACGTGATTCTATCTGGTCTATCTGAAAAATGAAAAGAAATCTAAATAAGTTATATGTGTGTGTGTAAGAATTCGTTATTTTGAGGCAATAATAAAAAATTTTCTTCTTGTTATTTTTGAATAAAAGCGAAAATTGATGCATAATTCATAATATTCAACATGAGTTTTCAGGGAATAGCATAGAGAGAGAGGGGGAGAGAGAGATGGTGCGAAATAATTCAATTTCCCGTCGTCGACATAGTCGTTCGCGGAAACCGCGTCCCAGAAAACGCCCTAGAGCTACGACGTATTCCACCCCCCGTTTAGATGGTAATTCGAGAGGACCGAGCGTTAAAAGGGGGACGAATTTAGCACCCTTGTGTTCTCAATAACGAGCCAGAAATCGCTGGGTTACGAAATTTGCTCCTAACTCATTCTCGTATGTGTGTATATGAAAATGCGAATGATATCAAGCCAATTTTAATAAATAAACTTTCAATAAACACCGAATTTGGTAATAAATTTTCATCCCATTGCATTGAAAAATGATTGTAATCGACGGTTTTAATTGTTCCCTCGAAAACTGTCGCGAAACTGTAAAATATTAACCGTTTTATTTAAATTGATTTTTTAAAATGAAGTGATAAATAAAGTTTTTTTTTAAATTCCTTAGTTAAAGTTGAAATCCAACGTAATTATCCGGAGTAGTAACACTCTGGAAACCTGTGCTTGAAAACGCTCAAGTTGAGTTTTAAATTAACTCGAGATTCGAGATACACTGCAACAGAGAATCCCGCTCTCTTTGATTTTCGTAACTTTACTACGCGGATCACATCGTTTGAAACATTTCGTCGCATACTTTTGTACAAAATGAAACGCTAGAAAATGATTAAATAAAAATTGCTCGGAATACATAGTAAGAATTTAGACTTATTAAATTTTTCTTCTCATTTTTCAATTGCTTTGACATCCTTTGAGTATTGTTCTCTGTCTGAAAACGCAGTCTGGGAAT